TCGAAGGAATTTTTTCTGAGTGTTTTTTCTGAGTGTTCGATCTTTGTATTAATAATTATAACAAATATATGTTTGATATTTGATGAAATGTGATTCCGTTTGTTTTGTCATTCGATGTTTTGCTGTTTTTCCCTCACCACCGAATGGGACAGCCTGATTGTTAAAGATATTATCTTTATTACAATAAATACAGAATATTTTTGTTGTTGGCGCTGTACTATTTTCCAATTCAATTTTCTAATTTGTGATTTCAGCACAAACGAGAGTTGAATAAAAAAATGATATAAGGCCCGTTACCTGATAAGTTGCCAGAGATGGATGACCCTTATTTCGTCTCTATTTCTGGTTATATACTCGATGCGTTGGGATCACCACTTTAACATTATACGAAGTGGAAGGGTGTTAGTGGTCACCGTTGCGCCATGGTGATATAACGTAGAAATAATTATGTCGTTGGGTGGTAGATGACTGGTTATATTTTGGTTGAGAAACTTATTTATACTCATTTGGTACGTGCGTCTTTATTCTAATTTACAGTGTAACACATTACTTTGCTTGCACTAAGACGTGTCTAGGGTGCTACTCTCGATCTCCGTCCGACATCCGTCCGAAACAATTACTGTCAAATAAGTAATATTCGACAAAATTAAAAGACAAGTATCCAGTATGAAGCTTCATTCGCATCACGCGTCTTTTCATTTGGTCAAGTATTGCTTATTTGGCAGTAATTGTTTCGGACGGATGTCGAGAGTAGACCCCCTGAATATCGGAAGAGGGTTTGACATTCTAGTACGTTTGCTGGCTGCTACAGTCAGATATTATACGGTTCTGTACAAGTACATAGGACGAAACTGTAATTGCATAACCATTACCCTGTTATCTCGCTCGCATGCATTGTCAATATTATTATCTCTGTGCGAGGTCTAGCACAATAGGGGCCAGTGGTTATACAATATGTTTTTGTAACGGGTTGAAATGGATTCTATTTTTCTTTCAATATCTACCTTTGTGTCTCCGATAACTAGTATGTCTTCGAGACTTGTTGTTTGAAATGAAATGTTTCTGAGCGCAATATCCAATTGTGTGCAAAACTTTTCTTGTATGTATTTCCGCCGTGGTCTGTACAATATACAATACTATAGATAATCCGTTTGTCTATTGACAGTTTTACGGGTATCGTTTCGAATGCTGCAGTTGGTTGGTTCTCGGCTTAGGTTTTCTTTGTAGTATACGTAAACCTCTTCGACTCGTCTCTTTCTGTCGTAACCGCTCACGCGATACATGCAGCCATAGACGCATACCACACCTAGAGGTGCCGGTGATGATTTTATACCGACTTATCGGATATCGAAGTTATAACAGGTAAAAGAACTAATATTAATTGATATTTCGGTAACTACTCTAGCAAACCATAAAGTTTTTAATAAAAAAAAATAAACAACTTCTAAAATACGTCACCACAATCGTGTGTGTTATTGTTTGGGCTGGTGATTTCGGCGTTTATTTATTGAAAACAAACCGTAAGTCGCGTTTTTTAAGTTTACCTCGAATATAAATGTTTATAAACTATACTTTAAGGAGTAATTTCATGGTAAACGTTAGAACCACTCAAACGGAATATTATCATATTTATCCAAGTAGACCAAAAATTTCATTAGCGCTTCTTAAGTGCAGGATTTGCGGTGTATTACTGCATTTTATTTGAGATGTTTTTATTGGTAGTTCGGAGGTATTTATTTAGCAATGCAGAATAATAATTTTTATTTATAAAAACTTTTATTTAAACTGAATGCTTCTCTAATTTGCGAAACCAAATAGCCGCCATTTTGCGGTAGGAAGAGCGCATCGCGTGAGCGGGTAATAAGGGTTTGGGAATGAACAATTTCTGCTTCCTTCAAATTTGTTGTTGTATTGATATTTATCTGTTACGGATAGTGGTATAAATCTGGTCACCGTGAATAATGGTCGATTTTATTAATGTCTGCCTGAAATGGACAATGTAATAAGAACTGTTAGATTAATATTTTTTCCAGGAGAGTATG